TTTAAAGTGTAACCCAGGCTAGACAGTAAAAGCCTATTTCAAAAAACAAACAGTAACAAAAAAAATGTTTCCATAGAAGTTAATTACCTCAGGTATTTTTGTTATAGCAACAGGCAACTGTCTAACACAGTGAATGTATGAATTATTCAAATTTCCAACAATTATTTGGTTTACAATAACAGAAACTGTGTTCCACTTTTTGCCACTGGAATTCTAGTGATGGAGGTGATTATTATAATAATCAGTACAAATGCTCAGGTACAGGACAGATAAAGAAGATGTATTCCAGGAGTAATGGGGAAGGTAAAGTGGGAATCCTTTCTTGGTGACCACTCTGAGGCAGACAATGAAGGAAAGAACAGAGTTGATGAGAGTGTGTGGGCTTATAATTTGGAATCTGAAGAAGCGGGGTGTGGCCATCAGTAGAAACACAGAAGGGAGATCAGATCTGTGCCGGCAGAAGGGGTGCACGGTCATGTGAGACTTATTGAAGGTTCCTGTTCAATGTTCAAAGCACAGTGTCTACCAGGAAGCTCACTCGGTATACAGGTGGTTCTTAGCGGAGTCCAGGATGGAGGCAAAGCAGACATGATGAAAAAGCTAAAAAAAAAAAAAAATAGGAAACCAAGGGATGGTGATGTCAGAGGAACCAAGGGCAATGCTGGGTTGTAGTATTAAATACACTTGTGTTTTGTTGGTTTCATGTTACATTTATGTGGGGTGTGTGTGTGTGTGTGTGTGTGTGTGTGTGTGTGTGTGTATGTGTGTGTGTGTGCCATGGGAGGTGTATAAAAGTTGTAGAGGTCAAAGGACAACTTGTAGGAATTGGTTCTTACCTTTCCCATGGGAGTTCCAGGTCATACAGCTTGGTGGCAAGCACCTTTATTGGCTGATCCATCTCACTGGCCTTTAAACTTATTATTATTGTTGTTGTTGTTAGTGTTAGTTATTATTATTTTTACTAGTAGTTTTTAAAGGTCATTAAGACAAAAGATATGACCGGAGGTTTACTGATGATTTTGACACATTTATGGACTGATGAACCAAAAAGACAAAAAAAAAAAAAATTCTACAAAACAAAATACAAAAGCAACCAGATTTTAGTAAGATAAAGTACTAGGAAAAGAACATTCACAGGCCAGATGTGTTGGTATGTATCTGTAATCCCAGCACTTGGGAGGCTGAGGCAGGAGCATCACTGTGAGTGCAAGGTTTGCCTGGGCTACATAGCCAGATGATGTCTTGAAAATAAAAGCAATCAGAAAGTGTTTTAGAGGAAAAGTTCATTTTTAAAGGCTGGGTAAGTAATGCCTAAAACTGGACAAAGTGATGGAATAAGCTTTATAAATAAGCTTTATAAATCCATTTATTCCACCGTATTTAACAAGCACCTCTCTCTGTAGGTTCTGGAGATAGAGGTGGAAAGTGAGACACTTTTGCTTAGGAGCCTGTCGCCTGGAAGAGAGGCTACACGTGGTGTGGTGTGTGTCATCAGGGAAAAAGGACAGGTGTTCTGAGAGGGGGTAACTGGGGGGCCTGGTTCCGATGGGGGAAGGGTTGGTTCAGAAAAGGCTTCTCCAAAGAGTTGGTCAAGAAAAGGTTTCAGATAAAGAAAAGGGTATTGGGACAGAAAAGAGGCAAACACTAGTGACCTAGAATGGGGAATGGGAACTCATCTAAGCGTGGAAGGGAAGGAACCCAGATGGAAGGGTGTCATTCTGGAGTATCAGACACCTGCTCCAAGGCTTGAGGGTGACCGGTGAGTGCGGCTGAAGGTGAAGCTGTCCGTCTGCAAGCAGGAGGCTGTCTAATGGCCACGTGTTCGCTGTGAAATAGCGGAAGTGCTGAGGGCAGGAATGACCTAGGTTGGGTGGTAGGGGAAATGGCTAGTGTGGGCAATGGAAAGAGAGCTGTCCTCACTTGCCTGCCAGCCCCTCAGTTCTCTCCCAAGTCCTCACAAAGCAATAATTACTTTTGCATTTCCACTTACCCAAAACCCTGACTGATCACCAAGGCAAAGGAGTCTTGGATTCTTCAGTGCTTATGTCTAAACCATCCTCAGTGATCTCAACTATCATTCATCTTTACTACTTTCAATAATTAAGCAATGTATTCAACAGGAAGCAACTAAATGCCAAATATGTGGATATTAATTGTCTCCTCAGGAAGGCCCATAATCCACAGGAAAACTGTTGACATCCTCTTTTCAAAGGCATTCTCCTCCTTAATAAACTGGCTACTTCCCATTCACTTGATGTCTAGATATCTTAAATGCTTTCTCCTTTTAATAAAGCAAATCCTGGGTTGGTTTTTTTTTTTCAGTCACTTTAAGCACAGTCAATTACCTACTGACAAGCAGGCAAAAAAGAAAGCATTTCTTTAGGAGGAGACTATAGGGCGGGGGAACTACTATTGGCACAGAGTCAAGTGCATGCTAAGCTATGAAAGCTGAACAATCTCCCCAGTCATATCCATCCACACTCAGGCACATGCACAAATCAACTGGCCTCTAAGGACTTCTACATCTGATGGTATTTTTTCCAGATTTGACCCCAGTGAAAGTACACTGGTCTCTTACTAGGGTTCGGAATAATGAATCAGAAGTACCCCACCATTACAACAAATTGGATATAAAGCATCCAAACGCAATTTTCTTGCACTTCGGATAGTGCAAAGGGCTCCTGGTGATCTGTCACTAAACAAGATGGACAAGTCTGCCACCAGGGAAAAGAAACCCACAAACCGTCAGTGAAGGGAGGTAGGGAAGACTGGGATCAGTGAAGAGAAATGAGCAAGAAAAACTGAGAGGTGATAGACTGAGCGAGGGGGTTAGACCCCACAAAATACCAGTCTGCAGATACACCTCCCCACACACACATGCACGCACACACGCACAGGCACACACACACACACAAACTGGAACACACACCCTAGCAGAAGTGGTGAATGAATCAATCTGGTCATTAAAGTAATAGACCAATTCTCCTCAGACTTAGTTAAAAAAAAAATCTTACCCTAACTGCTATCAATGTAAAATTCTAGCAGCTCAGATTCATTTCCAAGACACAAACGTTCCGGGCTTCCTCTAAAATGCAGAGGGCAAAGCCTGTGGGGCAGGTAAACCTCTGCAGGCAAGGGCAGAGGAAGGAGAGGAACAAGGGAAAGGTGCCCACTCCGCCACAGTTTCCAGGTTGCTGCTTGCAAACTCACAACCAGAGCCAGCAAGGGGAGGGGGAGAGTGTGGATGCTGGGAGGTACAATACAGTTGACCTGGCAGTTTTTCACCCCCCCCACCCCACCCCCCCACCACCTCCGACTCCTTTCCTAAAAGACAGGGAATAACAGGGCCCGGGGAGAAAATACTAATCTAAATGCTATGCAATTTTACAAAAAAGTTCAAGAACGGCTTTTCAGCCCAGCTTCCATCCCCTTTCTAACTACTTTTGGACTTCGTGTAAATTGCACCAAACAGAAAAAGAAAGCCATCTATCAGCACAAAGCTCTGTTGGACCAGAAAGCCGCCACGGGGAAACACCCCAGCCGCAAAGCTACAATGTTCCTAGCTGTCACTTTTCGTGCTGGCTGGCCGGTTATTTCTATTAAATAAGCCCTTTTCAATGGACCAGTTTCCCTCCTCGCACAGCGAGGTACACGGGCCGCACCGAAAGCCTACATGGCAAAACGCAGAGCTTTCCCTGCTCAGATGCGGCGGGAGCTGTGCCTAACTTGCAACTTAGCAGTCTCCCAAGAAGCTTCTTGAAAAGAAAGGGGGATTTCACAACCTTGAACACCCCCACCCACCTAATTTTCCCCCCCGCCACCCCTACTCCCCACCCCCATGTACAAGTGGACTTTGTGTATACCCCAAAGTTCCAGGAAACAAAGCACACAAACACTCACCCACAAATAAAACTCCCAAGCTAACACCAGCTATAATAGTGTTTTGGTTGGAATTTTTCCAGCCCTGTCACCAGCTCTGTTAGCAGTAAATGAAACTCTTGCTTTTGCAAAGACAGAGAGGGACCAACTCTCCTATTTCAAATGGTAAAAAGCCTCCCCCCCCCCCCCCACCCCCCCCCCCGCATCTTTCAGTCCCCAGCAAAAACTAACTGCAGAAGAGCTGGCAAGGAAAAATAAAAACAGAAGAAAAAAAAAACCCAACATATTCCCCAAATAAAGATCTTTCACTTCTCACCCAGCTTCCCCTTTTAGCCGGAAATACATGTCCCTTCCAATTTCTGACACCCCTTTTTCAAGGGACCCTAACTTGGGCTTTTCCTGGGAATCCAGCTTTGGGCTGTCCCCAGGCAGGCAGGCAGGCAGCCCATTCCAGGCGCGTTTTGTATTCTTAACAGCCAAAACTCGCTTTCTCCTTTCGAGAGAGATCTGAAAAGCAGCCTTGGTGGGCTGGCTTGGCTAGGTCTGATGCTGGATCCCTTGCCTCTTAACTGCCTGCCTAGTGGGACAGGGCTGCGCGCTGGGCTCGCAGCAGAGTCCAGCCAGGCTGGGGAGAGACAAAGTTCCCCACCGCTCGCTAGTTGTCTCCCATCAGCGCACTGCTCCCGCCTTCCTCCACATTCCTGCGCTGAACTTGGCGGAGCCGAGCGGCTGGCGTACCTTCCTTGGGCTCCTCCGCCTCGGAGAGCATGCTGTCGGGGTGCACAGCCGCAGGCGCCACCGCCGCGGACATGGACGTGAGGCTGCGAGGCTCCCAGACGAGTGCGATGCGCGCGGGCGGGCGGGCGGGCGGGCGGGACGGCGGTGGGAGGAAGCCGCTGAGATCAGAACCTCCCGGGGCGGGCGGCTGGCTGCGGGAGGGATTTTCAGGGGAAAGTTCCGCAGGAGTGACGAATCGCGCGGGGCTGGGCCACAGGAGTCCGCCCCCGAGGGGCCGCCGTGGGTGGAGGCGACCCGGCAGGTGGGGCCCAGCGCAGGAAAGGTGCCCTGGCGAGAACGGAGGTGCGGGGTGCAAGCTCGCACTGCATCTGAGGGATGACATTTTTTATATTCCCTGTCTTGGGTTTTGACATGCCCCGATTTATGAAAACCCTTTTCAGGACTGTTATTTTTCAGGCTAGGCATACAGATGCTGCATAAGCTTTTGGAAGGGTCCTGCTCACAAGGCACAAACTTCACCAGTGCCAGGAATGGCCTCTAAGGAAAGTAGGACAGGATAGGCAGAAGTCCCTTATGCATGGCTGGCTCCCTCTAACCAAGCTGCTGGGCGCTAAAGGCCTCTCTGGCTTTGGGAAATGCTGCCAGACAGGAGATAAAAGGGCAAAGGGCAGGAGGGCCCAGAGAACAGCAGCCATCCTGCCCTCCCCTCCCAAATGGCTCTTACCATTGGCTCAGAGGAAGTCCCCTTAGCTCTGGGGTGGCTCCAGTTTGCCCTTCAGAGAAGTGGGCACCACCGCTTCCAACAGCCTACCTGTCTTGCGGAGGTATTTATTTTACCAAGCCTTGTTTTAGCACCAACCCGAGGGTGAGGGGCCTCAAGTGACATACATACCTGAATGGAAAGACCCAATGGAAAAGCATACCCAGCTGGAGGTTGAGAGGAGAGGTACATTCTTTAAGAAATATATTTCCCACTGCCTTCCTTTTCCTTCTATTTTACTTTTATATGGGGGGGAGGGGGCCCAGGCTCTATGCTAAATTTAATGAAAGGACTGTGTGAACTGCCCAGGTTTTTCGAATCTGGGTTTAGATTTAGTTCTTCTATTTATTATTTATATGGCCTTAAGCAAAAATAATAACAATAATAACCTCTCAAGCATCCATTTGCTCATCTGTAAAACGAAGATAAAAGCAATCTCTCATTCACAGATTTGTTCGGTACTATAAACAGAATGATTTGATAGCGTAAGTGCTGTACTCAGGTTATCATTAACTACTGCACCTTCTGACAACCAATTTTTGTAAAGGATCCTCTTGCCTTTTATTTCACCATCAAGTCTGAAGAGTATCAATTCTATTCAGAGGCAAGGGGATATTATAAATAGTAACATAAGGTCTGATATTAAATCGGTTTCTATTAATGGGTGATTCTAACATGCCTAGGACCCTTCCAAAGTTTTATCTCAATTTTATTGAAAGGGCAAGGTGAACCAAGACATAACAGCCAGAGGGAAGAAAGAAACATCTGGAAAACATCAGTGCTGTGGAGCCTACGGAAACTGAGCATGCCTGGAAAAGGGTAACAGGCTGTACCCTTCTGAAATCGTGGTTACCACGGTCCCCCTTGCCCCACATCCTAGTGCTGCTGGGAGGGGCAGCCTGTGCCCCCTAATTTCAGGCTCATGGGGGACACAAGCTGAGGGAAGGATGGGGATGGTTCTGAATCAAAAGAAACGGTCTCTTGCCCATCACACATGGCCTTGCCTGTCCTTCTGAGGAATCAGTCTGCCCCTTGCTACTCTACAGCATCTGGTCTCGCCTTCCCTCCTCCACAGGCCAGATGTCCACAGATGTCCACCAGGGGCTCTGAGGAACCGCGCCATGGGCCGTTTGCTACACAAATGAGACAACTTCCGTCAATCTTTAGCTGGGGTGAAGCAGCACCTTTTCAAAGATGAGGTGATGATTATGCAAATGAGGTCGGCCCAGCTTCCACATCCCTTTGCCCCAAGCAGAATGACTTTCTCTCCTCCTTCAGAAAGCGCCCCTGTATGTAATATTCACTAGGTGTCCTTTCACAAACCCAAGTGCATGCACACCTCCTAAGGTCTGGTAAGTAGAAGTCCTTAATCCCCTGCTTGCTTTTACATGGGTTCACAGAACGGCCTGCAGCCCAGCCCAGGTCAGCCAAGGAGAACAAATGCTGAATGAACGGTTTGAACACCACCACACACAGCAGCCTGGTAATCAACTTAGCATCCTGTTAACAGCCCCGCTGATCTTTGAACATTCACTAGGAGCCTCGAGAAACTGCCAGAGAAACTTTTTTTTATTCAAATACAGTCCAGCAGTCACCTTGGGGAAGAATGTTCGGATCTAATTCAATAGCACTGGATGCCCAGCTTATTTAAAAAAGACTGTCTGTACACGATAAGCACTCCACAGCCACTGGCATAACCCCAGAGCCATCTGCCCTGGGCAAATGACTCTGCTTCAGCCTCCAACTTGCAAAATCATGGCAATGGATGGCAGGATGTCTAGGGTTCTCTTTTTTCCTCATGCTACTTCCAAATGAATGCTTGGTAGTGTTGATTTTGCTAGGACTTTATTCAAAGAGGGTTGGGCTAGCTACAGTGACTAATGTTCCAGTACACCATAGTGATCTGCTACTTCCTATCAGACCTATTCACTTTCTGTCTTTAGATCAGGTTCATGGACTGTAGTCTGGTTTGAAATTTGTATATGACCAAGTATGGCCTTGAACTTCTGATTCTCCTGCTGTCGTGCCCAATGTGCTGGGATTATAGGCTTGAACCACCACGTCTAGTCTATGTGGGTCTGGAGATTGAACCCAGTGCTTTATGAATTCTAGGCAAGCACTTTACCAGCTGAGCTATATCCTCAGTCCCCTATTTACTCCTGTATGTTTAAGAGACAGTCCAGCATCCTTACTTGGGCAATAAGCTCAGAATTCACATTAACCATCCATTATAAATCGCCTAATATAAAATAGCAACCTAGCTGGCAATATTTCTGAACTAGAAAAAGGCATACTGAGATATAATGTTGCATTCCACACCTGTGCAATAATGAAGCTGTCCCACCTATATCAATGTGGGAGAACTATAAAGGTTCTAATGATTTATCCATCCATTCAGACATTACCCAATATTTACACAGGTCACATATAAATGGGTCTTCCTTAGCTGGAGCTTCTGCCTATAATTTTGATAAATCTGGACCCCAGATTAAATGAATTCCTCACAAGGCACTTGGTTCTGTGAAAAATCTATTAACGCCAACCCAACTGAACTGAGTCTTAGTAAGTCAACTGAATCTCATGCAACAGGACAAGGCTCCTTTGAATCACACTCCAGTGAAGCTGTTTTTAAAAGAAAAGAGGAGGTGGCTGCAGCCTGGGCTTCAGGCCCTTTGGCTTACAGAGACCCCGATGCCTCTGAAGAACCAAGTAGGTTGGAGACTTCTCAGCTCAGAAGGCCATCGAGCAGAAGTGGCTACTCAGGAGTGTCACGCTATCACATTCCCCAGCAGACTCAAGGAGAGTCTGGTCATCTACAGTGGAAACCAGATACCTCTGCCAGCTACTTCTGTGCTGGCAAATGCTGGCTCATAAGCAGCTCTGGTCATGCTATCAGTGTTTTTATTTTTATTTCTGCCCTGCTGAATCTGAACATATAAAATTATAGGTCACAAAACGTCCGTTTACAGAGTATTCAAAATGGCCTTCTTCTGTTTCACTCTGGGGCTGTCCTCAACTTTTTCTATTTCCTGTCTTCAAAGACTCCCAGGATCCCTGTACAAAATTGACCTTTACACTGTCCTGAAACGTGGAAAAGGGTCTTTGGTTTTGGTCCCATCTAGTTGGGGCTGAGGACCTTCCACCTTCAAGATACTATTCACACTCAATCTCCAAAACACAGGAAGGCCTCACTGGGTGTCTCTCCACAGCCCTCCCTGCCCCGCATCCCTGCTCTCAATGAGGAAAGGGTACTTGTTTAACAGTGGAGGCCATTCCACTTCATGTGGCCTTCTATGTTGATGTGGTGACGAGCAGAGGGGTGAGGGTGGGGAGTCGGAGCGTGAAGTGGAACGAAAAGTGCCTGGATCAACCGGGAGAGCGTGGAGGGAGGCGTGAAGGGAAAGGGGCACTGTCACCAGACTCTGGGAGTGTGTGGCTCGGGGTAAATTCCATTCAGACTTTCAATGACAGTTCCAGCAAATCTTACATAATCATTAATATTCTGGGTGTGAGCAAATAGTTGTGAGGGAGCAGGAAGAAGCGCTGACACTGAGGTGCGCACTGGCAGGCCGACAGCTATGCATCTGGTGCGCACTTGTTTCCTAGGAGCCCATTGTTTGTTTCCGTCTCTCTCCGAAGACATCATCGCTGCCACACAGCTCTGAGTAGATGATCACAAAGCCCGTGTGCGCGTGTGGGCACGCGAACGCACACCACCACCACCACCACCCCCCCTCTCTCTCACACACACACACACCACACACATCACACCATACACATCACAAACACACATCATACACACACACCACACCACACACATCACACCACACACACATCACACCACACACACACCACACCACACACACACATATCACACCACACACATCACACCACAACACACACACACACACACACACACACACACACACACACACACACACCCTAGGTTGGAAAATACTGAAGGATTTTTGAGTCCATGATCCTTTTCCTAGAATACTTATCAGTAATTCCTTTCATTTGTTTTCTTTTTGGAAACAGTGTTGGAGTTTATTAAGGAGAGCTCTAACATGATTTCAGTATAGGTATTAATTTTAGAGGAGCCTCTGAGAGGTGCTTAGGAGAAGGGCAGTATATACCCAAGAAATAAGTCTGCCTTCTCCAGGGAAAGTGGCACCCCTGTATTCTACAATAGACGGTATGTATGACTTGGTGGCTTCTGAAGTTACATTCCTCAAAGGGTTTCTAAGAAACTTGTCCCTCCTCGTTCTTCCTTCCTATGGTGTGGGAGGGGAAAAGTGACAGGATCAGGGGTGCTCTCTGAGGTGCCCTGGATAGTGCAGGCTGGACAGGAGCAAGAGTACTCACAGGTCACATGACTCAGTGCCATTTGACCATTTTGGTTGAAGTGTATAAAAAGGAATACTGTTTCTATGCAGGCATTCCTTGTGGCAAATTTTGTTAGCTATGCCACAACTCTTGACTCTTGGTTGGGGAGAGAATTCAACCACACTCCAAGCTGAGGGGCTCCTTACTCTTTGCATGTCCTTTAAATTTTCCCTGCCTTCCTATCTTGCCTCAATTTACCTCTCCGGAATTTTGTTAAGTCTTCGGGACTAATGGTGGCTGAAGACTCAATTTTTGAAACTTCATTGCTAAACATGAACGGAGACTCTGTCTATTCAGGGACCAAGTGTCTGGATCTGTCTGAGAAGGCCTCAGCTTAGAGACTAGAGGATCTTCATTCAGTGAGAATCTAGCAGGGCACACTGCTACTATAGGTTTATTTAAAGTCACCCCTTGGGTTCCCTATGGTCACTTTAAAGATATGGAACTAAAGAAAGGAGGTTCTGTGAGTTGTCAAGTCACCAACCTGAGGAGCTGTGGGCTGAGCTTCCTTCCGGTCTCCTGCATCCTGACCCTTCCTTTCTATCCAGTTACTCATTAAGGCAGCCCTCCCTTCACAGAGGAATACCTCAAAGACTGTCACACTGGAAGGTCACCAAAAGAGTTTACAGCTGGCTGTGGTTCCAGCACAGACTGCTCTAATCCCTGTTCACAGGCTGAGATCACCGCTTCAAATTAAAGCCATTCCATGCTTGACATTTAATGCTTTAAATAAGCTATAAATTTAATAGCCTCTATTTATTCAGCTTCAGGAGACCTCAAATGTATTGGGTCTTTTTTTTTTTCTTTAATTAAAAATTCAGTTGGGACCCCAACTAAGCTTCCTTGGATATGAAGCAACCTGAATTAAAGAGGGAAAAAAAAAAAACCCAAAACCACTAGACTCAATTTGGGTTTCTTGGCCTCCTTATGGACAGCATAACAGAGCCCATGCTGATTGAACCTTGCTTGTGTTAGAAGGGTTTTCCTCTTTTCACTCTTTTTAAAAAACTTCCTCTAGGCCGGGCGGTGGTGGCGCACGCCTTTAATCCCAGCACTCGGGAGGCAGAGCCAGGCGGATCTCTGTGAGTTCGAGGCCAGCCTGGTCTCCAAAGTGAGTACCAGGAAAGGCGCAAAGCTACACAGAGAAACCCTGTCTCGAAAAACCAAAAAAAAAAAAAAAAAAAAAAAAAAAAAAAAAAAAAAAACTTCCTCTAAAAACAGGCAAGTTGTTAAGCCTCTATTTGCACGTCTGTAAAATGGGAGTGATGCTACTTATTTATCAGTCACAGTGATGAAATGAGCCAAGAAGCTGGCCAGGTATGCAAACTATAGCACCCCCCACCCCACCGCCACTTCTCTCTCTCTCCCCCATATTTTCATCATGAATCAGGCCAGACTGGTTTGGATTGCTTAGGAATGTCAGTTTGGAACCCTACATGCTGACCCAGATTGACACACCACAGATAGTGAACACAGCAGGGCTGGAATCTTTCCTATGCCCAGGTTAATGGGGTCAAATGGGAGAGCCTGAGATGGGGTCACAGCAAGGATCAACAGATGGATGGGAAGGAGTCAAGACTGAGTCAGGGCAGCTCGGAGTTGCACGGACCAATGCATGATGGTCTTCCTGAACTCAGGCGATCAAGAGTCACAGCCAGTCAGTCACAGGAGCTCAGGCCCGGAAGCAACCTCAGCGGTCAGCACTCCAGCCCTCTGTTGGGCTTAAGGGGTTCCCCTGGATACAGCAGCAGCCATCCTCCTCCTCTTTCCTTACCTCCCTTAGCAGATACACTTGCCTTAGAAGACAGCCCCAGTCAGAAAGTTCCTCTTTCTAGTGAGCTGAATCAAGTTTAAGGGCAGTAAGTAGAGAACGATTTCCCTTCTCACCACGGCCCCTACCTCCTGTATACTGGAGAAATAACTCTGTGATGAGATAAACACAGATTTATGACTGCATTTTCTTTTTGAGCAACTCAATAGAGAACCCCTTCTTGCACCCGCTGGCTGACTGTTGCTGCATGCAATCTGAGATGCTTCTGCAACTTTCCAGCGCTGGCCGGCCGGCACACATCTGTGATTGATTACTGGGATGCGTTCAGAAGCCAGGGACTCTGCTTGGGACCTCCAGCGATAATCTCTTCTCTCTCCTTTGTGTTCACTTTGAGGGGTGGAGAACTACACCAAGACAGGTTGAGGAACGAATCCCGAATGATTACATCCGAGCAGAGAAGAGGGGTTTTTATGCAAGTTTCTGCACAAAATTTTGAAATCCCAAAGTCGTGCTCCACATGTGGAAATTTGAATTCAGACACTTAGCCTGAGATCTGTTTGGCAGTTTAACCGACGTCCAGTTGTCGCAATCTGAGTTTTACATCAGATTTTGGACGTGAGCAGAATCCAGGAGGGTTTGACCATGGGCCAGGTGGTCACAGTTTAAGGGAGAGAAAGGCTTGTGGAGAGACCCCGGGATAGGATGGGCTTTCCAGGCATAGGGGCCAAGGCTGACACTGGACAGACACACTCAGCAGGCGGTAAAATGTGAACTGAAGCAGAACTTATCCAAACAGGCTTGCGGGGAGAGGAGAGGCTCCTTTTCTGCCAAGGATCAGAAGTTTTTCCACTTGAATAGGTCAGGTTCTGAAACTGGTTTATGTGGCCAGTCCTTAAAGAAGAGCTATAGAAATATGTGCCAGTTACATCTCAGAGCATGGGGTGCAAGCTCTGACTACCTCCCCACCTGGCTGTGCACATGCTACAGAATGTAATAGTAAGCCTGTTAATTTTGTAGAATGAAGTTAAAAATCATTAACTTTCTCAATCTGAAATCTATTTCCACTGACTTTTTTTAAACTACTGAATTCAGCAAAATCCCCTCACATGCCATTTAATTATTTTTTTTTTCCAATTTCAACGATACATGGTCATTTCAAACAGATGCAAATAATAGAAAAGTAGCACCTGGGCCATAGTCCAACCTAATTTTATCCTGGAAAATATGATGACGTAGAGCTGGGACTTTACTGCTCCCCTCCTGACCCTCTCTCTACACCTCTTGCCTGGCCTTTCACCCTGGTAGCTCTTATACATGAAGGGTGAATGTTACATTCAAGGCTATGTAGCTTTTAAAAAATTGATAGGCATGCCTAACAGATGGCTCAGCAATAAAAGGTGCTTGCCACCACACCTTACGCCTAGTTCAATCCCTAGAGCCCATATGGTGGAAAGAGAGAACTGACTCCCTCACATGGTCTTCTGACCTCCATGTGCACACACTACACACTCTAAGTAAAGGTAAGATGAAGAAAGAACGACCATAAAAATATTGACATAATAACTGAATATCTTCATGGAGCCCACTGTGATGTCTTAGTACATTGTATGTTGACCAACAACAGACACTTAGACCATCCATCCTTGTCAATATTTTTCATTTCTTTGTATTGAGAACATTCAAAAACCTTCTCGTCTAGTCATTTTGAGCTACCCATCTTCCCACTGCAAAATGTTTCTAAAAAGAAGCCAACTCTAGCTGGGAGGCAGCACTCACCGAGTAACTCTTAGACAAATTAAGGGATGGGTG